ATTTGTTTTCTTCAACAAAGTAATCTTACTATTGGAGATTTATGGTTAAGATTCTAAAATATGGAAAACAGTACATGAAGGTATTCACTGCAGCATCAAAAACAAACTCAAAAGAGCTGAAAATTGAAAATGACCTAAATGTCTTAAAGCAGAGAAGTGCTTAACTAAAGCTTGGCCTATCCAATAAAATATAATGCAGCTTTTATAAAAGTTCAGAGAGGCTTATGGTTAAAAAAAGAAAAAAATGCCTACAACAAAATGTTTAGTTTAAAAAGCCTGCTATAGAATCATAGCATCCACAATGTATAATTCATAGTATGACTATTTCTATGTATGCATACTGATATGAGACAAATAGGTCTGCCCCCAACATATTTCAGGGCTTGGGGCATGGGGTACAAATGAAGCCCACATGCCAAATACCTAAATATTAAATTAACATTTATTAAATATGTATGCAATTGATTTAATAATTTATTGTAATATTAAATTAAATGTGATAGTTTAATGTACTAAAGTAAGTTAATAATTAGGTATTTAAATTACTATAAATTAAATATTTAAAGTGTTACTTATTACATATAAAATTATTAAATAATTCATGCAGGCAAATTGTCAAATATTCTCCTATTTTGTGATAAGTTAAGATGCCTGTGGTAATCCCTAAAGCAACCCTTAAGAAAATAATTCAACAGATACAGTTTTGAAAACAAAGAAATTAAAATGGTATGCTATAAGAATATTTAACACGAAAGAAGGCAGTAAATGAGGAACAGAGGAACAAAACAGACATAAGACATATCAAAAACAAACAGCAAAATAGTAGATGTAAATCCAATCATATCAATAATAATTTTTTTAATAATAATTATTATGGACTGGAAATTTGTCTCCCCCAAAATTCATATGTTGGAGCCCTAATCCCAATGGGTAAGGTATTTGGAGGTGATTAGGCTTTAAAAAGATCATGAGTATGGGGCTCCCATGATGGGGTTAGTGTCCTTATAAAAAGAGAAAGAGAGACCAGTCACTTTGTCTGCCATATGAGGAGGCAGGAAGAAGGCAGATGCCTACATGTCAAGAAGAGGCCCTTTACTAGGAACTGAATGTGTCAGCACCTGGAGATTGGACTTCTAGGCTCCTGAGCTATGAGAAATACCTATGTGTTGTTTAAGCCACCCAGTCTATGGTATTTGGTTATAGAAGCCCAAAGTAGGACTTCCCTGGTGGTTGAGTGGTTGAGAACCCACCTTCCAATGCAGGGAACATAGGCTCAATCCCTGATGGGAAACTAAGATTCCCACGTGCCTTGGAGCAACAAAGCCAGGCACTGCACTAGAGAAGCTCAAATGCCTCAATGAAGACCCAGAACAGCCCCCCCGCCAAAAGAAGCTGGAGCTAAGACAGTTACATTGAATCATAGCAGTGTTATTCATAATAGCTCCAAACTAAAGACCCAGAACAGCCCCCCAAAAAAGAAACCAGAGAGAGCAAAGACAATTACATTGAATCATAGCAGTGTTATTCATAATAGTTCCAAACTAAAAATAACTCAAATGTCCATCAACTAATAAATAGATAACAATGGAATACTAGTCAGCAATGAAAAAGTAATGAGCTACTGACACAAGTTATAACAGGGTAAGCCTCAAAATTTTTACGCTAAGTGAAAGAAGCCATACACAAAAGAACACATATTGTATGATTCCATTTATACCAACATATCCAAACAGGCAAATCTTTTGGCTAGCTGGGACTGGTAGTTTAACAGCAATTAACTGGAAATGGTCCAATAGCTTTCTAGGGGGTAATAGACACGTTCTAACACTAAATTATGATGATGGTTATAATGATGCACAACTCTGTAAATTTACTAAAAATCATTGAATTATGAGCTTAAAATTGGTGCAATTTGTGGTATATAAATCATACCTCAATAAAATTATTTTTGTAATATGCTAAAATATTTTAACCTGTGCTGCAAATGATACCATCAAGAAAATGAAAAGACTACCCACAGAATAAGATAAAATATGCAGAAAGCATATATCTGACAAAGGGCTTGTATCCAGAATACATAAAGAACTCTTGCAATTCAACAATAAAAAGATAAAAGGCCCAACATAAAAATGGGCAAAGGATCAAAACAGATATTTCTCCAGAGAAGATATGCAAATATTGAATACATGAAAAGATGCCCAGCATCATTAGGCATTGCTGCTGCTGCTGCTAAGTTGCTTCAGTCGTGTCTGACTCTGTGCGACCCCATAGACGGCAGCCCACAGACTCCGCCGTCCCTGGGATTCTTCAGGCAAGAACACTGGAGTGGGTTGCCATTTCCTTCTCCAATGCATAAAAGTGAAAAGTGAAAGTGAAGTCGCTCAGTCATGTCCGACTCTTAGCGACCCCATGGACTACAGCCTACCAGGCTCCTCCGTCCATGGGATTTTCCAGGCAAGAGTACTGGAGTGGGGTGCCATTGCCTTCTCCTAACCAGCTATACCCCAATACAAAATAAAAAGTTTAAAATTAAAAAAATAAAAGCACAAAACCAGATGAGATACCCACTAGGAAGGGTATAATCAAAAAAATGGATAAATAAGTGTTAGCAAGGGTGTAGAATCCTCAAGTACAGCCAGAGGGAATGTAAAATGGTGCAGTCACTCTAGAACGGGGGTCCTCAACCTCCTGACTGTAGACTGGTACAGCTGGAGGTGAGCGGCCGGCAGGCAAGCAAGTGAAGCTTCATCTGCTGCTCCCTATCAACCCCCATCGCTTGCATTACCGCCTGAACCATTGGTCGCATTGTCTTCCACGAAACCGGTTCTTGGTGCCAAAAAGCTTAGGGACCACTGCTTTAGAAAACAGCTTGTCGGTTCCTCAAATTGCTAACATGAAGTTTCCTTATGACCCAGAAATTCCATCCAGGATAATGCTCAAGAGAAATGAAAACATGTGTCTAATAAAAATATCATAACTGCAGTATTTGTTACAGCCCCAAAATGGAAACAACCCAAATGTCCTTCAATGGCTAAAGGAATAAATTAAATGTGATATACCCATATATTTTATTCATCAATAAAAAACAAGGAAGTACTGATATATGCTGCATCATGGATGAATCTTGAAAATTATGCTAAGTGCAAAGAACTAGTCACTAAGGACCAAATATTGATCAGGCAAATCTTTAGAGAGAGAATGTAGCTCTAGTGGTTACGTAGGACTGGGAGGAAGGGCGTGGTTTGGAGGAAAATGGGGAATGAATACTAATAGGAACAGTGTTTCTTTTGAGGGTGACAAAAATGTTCTAAAATTGACTGCAGGGATGGTTGCAGAACTTTGTGGACATACTGAAACTTACTGAATTGTACACTTTAAATGGGTGAATTATATGGTATATGAATTATATCTCAGTAAAGGTGTAAAAGCAAAACAACAGTATATGTTGCTGTTGCCAATATCACTGCTATATTCCCAGAATCCTCACATCATTGTTTTCTTGATGTCTTCTCAGTTCTTCCCAGAACGGCCCTTTGGCCCTTTTCACAACCCTCCCATCGTGTATTGGAAGGATCAGTGGGCAGAGGGTCAGGAGACAGGTGCAAGACCCAGTCCTAGTAGCCTGGCTTGGGTAGCTCGCAGATCCTCTTTGGGGTCCAGTTTCCACGACTTTCCTTTCTGATTTGTTTTCTCATTCATTCAACAGGTATGTTTCAGTCATTCATCAGAACAAACACTTACTGAGAGCTCACTGTGTCCTGGTACTACTCTAGGTGGCAGGGATACAGCTGTGAATAGGACAGCTGCCTTCCTGGAGCAGGGGGAGGAGGAAACACAAACAAGAACATTACTTCTGTAAGCACACTGCAGAAAGCATGTGTGTCTGACTCCTTGTGGCTTTCAGGTGGTAAAAAATCCGCCTGCCAATGCAGGAGACACCAGTTCGATTCCTGGATCAGGAAGAACCCCTGGAAGAGGAAATGGCAACCCACTCCAGTATTCTTGCCAGAAAACCCCATGGACAGAGGAGCCTGGTGGGCTACAGTCCATGAGGTCACAAAGAGTTGGACATAAGTGAGCAACTGAACACTCAGCACTGGATCCTAGAGGTCAGAAACATGCCAGGCTTCTCCTCCGGCTAAGGCTCATACAGAGAGGCACCTGTAGATCATGAATTCACTTGGTACTTAAACTGGATAATTCCTTGATAAATCCTTACAAATAATGCTGTGAGATTTGATTCCCAAAGGAGTATTCCTATAGTAGAAGGGAAGAGACCTTAAGTCACCTACTCATTCGTTCATTCATACATACATACAAGTGCTTTGAGCATCTTATAATAGTTAAATCATTTTGTCTGCCAGTAATAGAAACTTAATTTAAACTGTCTTAGGCATAAATTTGTCGGTTAAAATAACTAAAAAGGTACAAGGGCCACTTGATCCAGGTGTGCACACGACATCATCAAGAACACCTCTCAACCCAGTCTTCCTCTGACTGGCTCCATTCCTGAGTGAGTGGTCCTTTCATGGAGGCAAAATGGCTGTAGACTGTCCCAGAACCTCATCTTCCAGTTCAATACTGCATGAATAGTGAGCTCTTCATCCCCTAATTTCCCTTTTTTAGGCTCCCTCTGCCCTTTCCCCCCCAAAGTCCTCCCTGGGCTTCTATTGAATTGAGTTCAGTCTTGAACTAATCACTGCAGTCAGAGAATGAAATGAGCTAATTCCTAATTCACAGGGCCTGGGCATTTGCCATGGGTGGGAGCAGTCAGCCCAGTCTGAAGCACAATGGCTGAAAGCACGGGAGAGGGTGGCTCTCAAAGGAAGAGTGCTGTTTCCAGAAACAGCAGAAACTGGAGAACAGATGCTTCATAAGCAAACAAAAATAACCCGTGTCCCCACACACTGATACCAGGCCCATCAATTACTGTGTTACTTATATTTGTCTTACTTATATCACTGTCTTACTTGTATTTGTCATGCATACAGGACATGAGAGAAAGATGACAGGGATTTAGAGAATATGCAGCAGCAATTCAGAAAGTGGAGGGTTATCTTCCCATATGGAGAACCAAGGATCACCTCATGGAAGAGGTAGCATGTGAACTTGACTTTGAAGGATGAGTGAAGTTTTTCATATGTATACATGAGAGGGGGCACTCCAAGCTGGGAGAACTGTGTGACCTAAGGCTTGGGGAAAGTCAGTGATTCAGTGTAGCCAGAACACAGGCCCAGGAAGAAGTGATGTAGCCTATGAGGAAGGAGGTGGAAGCAGGGATCAGATCTCAGGGGCCTCGGGTGCCAGGGTAAAGAGCTTAGATGACAGTCTAGGGAAAGAGGAAACCACTGAAGCCTGTGACCATGGCAGGGATATCACCTGGGACATTAACCTGCTCAGATCCCTTAAAAGGGGGAAAACACAAAGAGCAACCAGTTAAGAGACTGCAGACATGGTTTAAGCAAAAAGTAAGAGAATCTGAAAGTCCCTGGCACCTCCAACCCAGCGTGTCCAAGACAGAAGCCAGCCAGCTTGGCTTCCCCATGCCCCTTCTCTACCCAGGTTTTCTGCCTTAATGAATGGCATCATCATCCCCATGTGTCATCCAGGACTCCCCCCCTCTCTCATTTCCCCCTCAATGAACTCATCCACGAAGCCAGTCCATTTTCCCTCCTAAACGTTTCTTAAAAGTACTTGTCTTGTTCCTCTGCACCACCTCACCCCTCAGGCCATCATCATTTGTCCCTTGCATGGCTCCAACGGCCTCCTAACTGACCTCCCAGCCTCCAGCCTTATCCCTTTTCAACTCTTGGTTCAGCAGCCAGTCATTGGTTTAAATTTCAGCCATCTGGGGACTCCCTGAGGACCAACCCCCTTCAGGATGTGGTTTCTAGCCTCACATCTTCGGCACCCCCAGCCATTCTGAGCTGTATTCGACTCACCCAGTGGAGCTGATCTCTTTCCCCTCTGGACATGCACAGGCTGCTTCCTCTCTCCCCACACTAACCTCCCACCTCCTTTGTTCCTGGTGTAGGAGCTGGAGGGCTGTTCCTGGTGGGAATGTGTTTGGGAGGCTGGGAGACAGGAGCCAAGAGTGGGTGGAGAGCCGTAAGTTCCCTGTGGTGGACGTGTTCCGTGTCTGCCTGGTACTTGCCTTCTCCCAGGAGAAGCAGCGCCCCCACCCCTGCGTTTTGGAAACTGCTCCCCACACTCACCTGTGTGGTCCAATGGGAGCTGCCGTTTTACATGGTCTCGCCTCCCTGTCACAGGGGTTCATTGTGAGGTGGATGACCTAACTGACCCAGTCGTGTCCCTCTCCAAAAGTTTTTTAACGGGAGCTATGGGGAAATGGCCTCTTTCCTTTTCAGCTATGAGACTGAAAAGCTAGACTGTGGAGCTCCAAGCTGCGAGGTGCCCTGCCTTGTGGCAATAGGTAACATTCAGAGAGAAATGAAAACGACAGGCTGAGGGAGAGGTCCTGACCAGGTTCTGGCCACTTTTAAGATCCAGGGTGGTCGTTAACTTGCCATCTCATTGAGCAGTGCTTCCCAGACTCTCTGTGGGGAAGAGTCAGATTTTTTTTGCCCAGTCTTACTATAAATCATAACTTTGGTTAAACACAATACAAAACTTTAAAAAAAAAAATCCTGCACACACTAGAAACATGGTTTCTAGTGTTATATTCAACTAACAACTTGTCAATTTGTTATAAAAATCTGTCAACACTTGATCCCAATTTCTGTACTCACCTTGTCATGGACTGTATCAAGCAGCCAGTCTGTGGCCCACACTTTGACTAGCCCTGCCCCAGAGAACATCGTGCACCCTTGCTGGCCCGAGCTCTGCGTTCCAGCTGGTAGCAAGGGGGAAACAAAGGAAGTGTAAGGCAAAAAAATTGTTTTTAAAGAAGTAATGCAGTCCAAGGGGGAGGAGAGGTCAGGGAAGGAAGGACTAGGAGTTTGGAATTAGCAGATGTAAACTAGTATATATAGGATGGATAAACAACAAAGTCCTACTGTTTAGCACAGGAAACCATATTCTATATCCTGTGATAAGCCATAATGGAAAAGATACACAAAAGAGTTATGTATGTGAATATATACACACACATATACATCTTGTACAACAGAATCATTTTGTTGTACAGCAGAAATTAACACATTATAAATAAACTGTACTTCAATTAAGAAAATAAAAAAAGAAGTAACATCAAAATTGCACACATCCTTTTCATTCCATTCTACTGGTGAAAAATGTGGTCACTCTTGGTTGCAAGGAAGACCAGGAAAGATAGTTGCTAGTTGGGTGGACTTGTGCCGTTACTAAAAAATTCCATTACTAGAAAGATAAAGGGCGAGACGGTTGTGGGAGACCACAGCTTCTGCCACACACTCCAAGAGTCACCAGGAGCCTGCCCTCAGGGGCTGATGCTGTGCTTGGGGGTGCGGGAGGCTTGGCTACATAGGGGCTGTATTTCAGGTATCTGCCATTCTCTGCAGCGAGCTACGCCAGATTTAGTCGCTTAAAATGACAACCATTTTCCAGGCTTATGATTTTGCTGGTCAACAATGTGGCTGCCTTCATTGGTGGCCCTGCCGGTGGTATTGCCTGGGGTCTCTCACCCAGCTGCAGTCATCTGGTGGTCTGATTCGGGCTGGATAGGCTAAGATGTCTTCACACATGCATCTAGCAGTTGTCAATCTTCAGGCTGGGATGCTTCGGTTTTCCACGTGGGCTCTTCAGGAGATGAGCTCAGGCTCACTCACATCCTCGTTTCCACTCCAACCACAACCAGAGAGAGGGCAAACCTCACACAAAAGAGGGTTTCAAACCTCTGCTTGCATCACATCTGCGAAAGGCCCACTGGCCAAAACAAGGCACATCTCCGAGCTGAGATTCAAGGAGAGGAGAGAGGACATGACTTCCTGATGAGAAGAGCGGTGACGTCACATCACTAAGGAGCATGAGAGGGATGCTGCATAACATCTTCACAAAGAGCCTTCCATGAGAACTTCAGCTTCCACCTACAGAACCAGGAATGTCCACCGTTGTTCAGGCTTTTGTGGTCCCAAGGGAAAATAATCCCACCAGTGCCCCAGGGAAAGAGTTCTCTTTTTCAGGCTTCACCCTGCATCTGAAAGGCTGCCAGGAGCCAAAGCAGTCCCCAGAAGCAAGTCTTCCTCTGTCTCTCCGCTGAGCTGCAAGGTCTCCTTCATGGCACATCTTCCCCCTCTGTGTCTGCTCCATCCTCCTCTCTGCTAATTGCTTCATTTCTCTTTACTTCTGGCACCTACTCCCTCACAATTTCCGCTGGCCCCAGGCATCAACCTATGGCACCCTTTCACCTTCTGGCCCAGCTGTTAACCAGCTCAACCTCTCCATGTTTCCCCTGTTCCAACTCCAGAAAGTATCACCTTGATTAGCTGACTCACATCCTCAAACTGGACCACGCTGAGGTGGGCAGGCCAGCCTATGGATTGGCTGTCTGGAGCTCAGGTGCCCACATCTCATCCAATTACCTGGGGAAGAGGGGAAGCACTACTGTAGGTCAATCTGTGAATCTGAAGAAAGATACAGCTGTGTCCTAATCATCAAAACTTGTGAATGTGACTATTTGGGGGGAAAAGGTCTTTGTATTAACAGATATGGTTGAGATAAAATTATCCTGGATTATTCAAATGGGTCCTAAATTTAAAAACATGTCCTTCTAAGAGATGTGTAGAAAGAAGACAGACACAGAGGAGGCTGTGGGAAGATGGAGGTGGAGGCTGGTATTATGCAACCACAGCCAAAAAATACCTGGCACCACTAGGAACTAGAGGACCCAAGAATTCTCCCTTAGTGCACCTGGAGGGAGTGTGGCCCTGACGACACCTTCATTTCAGACCTTGAGCCTCCACAATTAAATAAATTTGTTATTTCAAGCCACCAAATTTGTGGTAATTTGTTACAGCAACTCCAAGAAACTAATACAAGCACATTGCTCAAAATATAGGACCCAGGCAGCAGGACCCCTTGGCAAAACACTTTTCCTGTGCTGACATATAGGCCACGTAAGCATATACCTCATTCCCTGACCAGGGAGCGAACCCTTGCACCTTTTTCTTCTAAGACTTGGCTTGAGACCTGCAAGCCAAGACAGCTTGCACCCCAGTGTCCTATTATTCAGCATCAACACATGATGCTTTCAAGAGGTCTCAAGACTGAAAAGATGTGATAAATAGCATCTCTTGAGTCTCTTGCATTGGCAGGCAGTTCTTCACCACTGCACCACCTGGGAAGCCCAACAGAAAACTATTTGGTCATAAAAAAATGAAAGTGAAAGCCGCTCAGGTGTGTCCAACTCTTTGCGACCCCATGGACTATACAGTCCATGAAATTCTCCAGGCCAGAATACTGGAGTGTGTAGCCATTCCCTTCTCCAGGGGATCTTCCCAACCAATGGATCAAACCCAGGTTTCCCACATTGTAGGCATATTCTTTACCATCTGAGCCTCCAGGGAAGCCCAAGAATACTGGAGTGTGTAGCCTATCCCTTCTCCCTGGGATCTTTCTGACCCAGGAATCGAATTGGGGTCTCTTGAATTGCAGGCAGATTCTTTATCACCTACCATGGAAGCCCACTTAATCATAAGAAAGAATGAAATCTTGCCATTTGTGACAACATAGATTGATCTAGAGGGTATTATGCTAAGTGAAATGAATCAGAGAAAGACAAATATCATATGATTTCACTTATATGTGAAATCTAAAAAACAAACCAAATGAACAAATGGAATGAAACAGAAACAGATTCACAGATACAGAGAACAAACAGGTGGTTGCCAGAGGGGAGAAGGAGTAGGGGAATGAGTGAAGTAGAGAGGGAGATTAAGAGGCACAAACTTCCAATTACAAAATAAATGAGTCACAGGGATGAGATGAAACATACAGCAGGGGAATATGGTCAACGATATTGTAATATCTTTCTATGGTGACAGATGGTAACTAGATTTATCATCATGATCATTTTGTTCTGTATAGAAATACTGAATTACTACAATGTGCACCTTGGAACTAACATAGTGTTGTAAGTCACCTTTACTTGAATTAAAATGTTATTCCCATTCCCTCCAAAAAAATAAAGGTATAAGTTAAGATCAAGATGGAACAGTATTTTAAGAGAATTAATGATAAGGTCATGGCAAGAGTTTCCTTTGGTTGTCTGTCTCCGAAGGACACAGAGTCCTGAGCATCCTTTCAGAGGAGGAGGGAAGAATTCACGGGAGCAGGAGAGGAGATGGGAAGAGTCATGTCCTAATGCCAAGCACACCATATCTCTGTTCACACAAATTAACAAATCACAGCATCACAGAAGGTCAGGGTTTTGCTTTTAGCCCTCTCACTTAACAGATGAAGAAGCAGAGGACACAGAAATGAGTGACTTCCCCAGGGTCCCCTACAGCTGTTTGCTCCAGACATCCAATCCCCTCCTCTTCCCATGTGTCCAAGACTTCATAATGTGCCCTTGGCAAAGACAACTATTTTTTAACTGCCTTTATTCATGTCTCTACATGTTGTAAAATGCCTCTAGGACTTTTCTATTCTTGTGCCCTCTCTCCGCTTCCCTGGACATAGTGGCTCATGAACGCCTTGTCCCTGCCAAGTGCAGCCAAGGAAATAGGAGCGGCCACTTGGCTGAGCGGACAGGAAAGCATGCACTGAAGGGGCTCTGGTCCGCTAGCCTGGCCAGGACTGCAGCACCCCCACACGACTGCACGTTCCTCAGCCGCCAGCCGAGAGCCCTGGGTCTCCTTCCTTGCAAGCACAGTTCTAAGTAAGTTCCTGGCAATAGAGTCACCTACACATGATTTCCTAGACCAAAGATAGGAGAGTCCACCTTCTATGAATTGGCCTGGATGGGCACGAGGTTGACGGTGGCCTCCAGGCAACCTGCAAGCTGTCCAACAGTACTGCTGCAGACCGGGCGATCTCTGCAGACCTGGCACTTCCCAATTTTGTGGGGTCTGATGGTGGCTTCCCTGACCTTCCCTCATCCAGCCCTCTCACCTAAATCCCCTAATACACAGCTTTTAAATCCTGTGTATTTGGGATATCTGGAGTGGTTTCCATTTCTCTGACAGAATCCTGACTGGCACAGGTAATGAAGCTATGTAAAATGATGTGTGTGTCGGGTTGGCGTGGGGGGAAT